CCCACTACAACCAATAGTTTCAATACCTGGAACATATTCATTCAACTGATCGAAAGAATGATACAGAAAACGAAAACATCTCCCCAACAGAAGTGAACATCAAGTCAGCTCAACAACTGAATTTCTAGACAAAATAAAGGATTTAGGGTCAGGCTGTGATGAAAGGATGATATCTTTTGATGTGACTTCATTCTTCACTTCAATCAACTCAAATTTAGCCAAGAAGACGATGGATATTCTTCTGAAGAACCACTAAACTGTTCCTAACTATACAAAGATCATGGTTCCAAACCTAGTGGAAATGATAGAGCTATATCTCACAACCTATTTCCCTTTCAATAGGAAAATTTAGAAACAAACAAGTGGAACACCAGTAGGATCACCAACATCAGGATTGATTTCTGAAGTTGTGATGCAGCAACTAGAATCAACAGCCTTTCATCTCATCAAGCCAAAAATTTGAACTCGGTAAGTCAACGACACAGTCGCAATTCTCAACGATGAGGAAGTAGAAAACATATTCAAACTAATCAATCAAACATTTGAAGGAATCAACCTCATAAAGGAGGAGGAATTCAATGAAAGGATTCCATTCTTACTTGTCCTCATCAACAGAACACAAAAGTGTACAGGAAAACCATACACAGATCAAATATTGAACTACAACAGTAATCATTCTAAAGCTCATAAGAAATATTGTGTACAAACATTGTTCTCAACATCCAAAATATATTGCAGCAGTAAAGCACTACAAAAAGCCAAAGATAACTAGCTGTACAAAGTGTTCAAAGCCAATGATTATCCACAGAACTTTTATCAAGAAGTGTTTATCAGCAGAACAGAAGACACGGCAACTGCCTTAAACTACTAGTCACGTTGCACTAACCTACATCAAAGATATCTCAGAAACATTCAACCATTTGCTTTGTCCTTTCTGAATCAGAGTACCACACAAACCGACGAAATCACTACAGAGCATGTTGTCCAAACAGAAGGATGCATTGTCAAAAGAAGACAGGATAAATATAATCTACAAAATCAATTTCAAAAGTTGTTCACACCATTATGTTGGCCAGTCTAGTCGTCGGACTGCTCAAAGAATTGATGAACACCAATTAGAAGAAAACTGACATGATGCTGCGTTCTAGGTTTCAATGGTTGCAGACAATCATGATTATAAATTCGACTGAAAAAATATAGAAATCCCCTAAAGAGCGGATTTTAAAGCTGCAAGAGAATTTCTGGAAGGATGGTATTCAACAGACATGTGAATATCGACTCAACCTACAGTCTACTTAGGAAGAAAATAGCCATCCATCAACGAAGAGCATATTTGCTATACAAATCAATAACTATGCACATCAAAAACAGTACAACTTCACTTTAACGAAGAATATCTAATAATGTGACTGAATAAAATTTAATGTGAAAGAGGTCAGGGTGTGATAAAAAATTTCTTCCCCAACTTACAGTTGGACAACATCCAAGGTCAATAAAGAAACACTATCTAAACACTCGTGTAGTATACGATTATGCTTCACTTCTTGGCGAAGTCAGTGCTAAAGATGTCACTAAGTCCAGTGATGAAACGTAAAACGACAAAATATCGAAGCTCATAGAACACCAAACGACCATCATCTTCATCTCAAGCTACATATATATTCTATTATCCTGAATGATTAGGTAAGTGAATCATGTTTACCTACCTGACCGGTGAAAAGATGTAAGCCGTCTTGCATATCAGTAGTATATTTGAGATGATAAGAATTTTTGAATAGTATAGCTTTTCTTAAAATGAATTCATCTTAGTGCATTGTTTTTCGGTAGAAATGATAAATATGAGAAATTACTCATACGAACATCAATTAGCTAAGACTGTAGTATAACCCTTTGGTACAAGTATCTGATTGTGGCTACAGCATATTCAATACAAAGTAACGAGGATTACTTTGGTTTAACTTAAGAGGCTACCAACGAAATACACTAATACTGATGGGTGATCAACAAACACCAAGAACACTTTGGAGGTTGTTATTTCCCATTGATGACTAGCTGAGAACGAATTGATCAGCCTTTGTTGGCATATATTGGCTCCAGTTTGGACGCCTCCACATAGTCAGTCAGGGTCAACGGGAAACAATAGAGAAGAATAGGTAAAATGTATGAATTAATAAATTATAAAAGTAGAAGTTGAGTTATACCAGAGAGTCTTATGAAAAATTTTTTTACAAGTCAACAAGATATGAGACGACGAACAAAGATCAGAAGTAAAACTTAACTTTCTGTAGAAATACGATCAATGCAACAGGCGTCATTAGATTTAAGCAGCTCATACAAGTCATTTTTACGTCTGAGGCTAAAACTTCACAGTCTGACATTTAAAATGGTTTAACTTCAGACCATTTGAGAAAGACCACTGGTCAATTACAGACAAGAATTCATCTAATTTAGAACAATCTCAGTGAGATTTGACTGGAATAGACACCGTCAGATCATCAGCATACTTGATAAAATTAGCTAGAACAGAAAAGGAGAAACTACATCACCTTTAAGCAAACCAGCTTCAGTAAGCTTTCAAGTGAAGCGCCTCCCTTCATAGATAGTATACTGTTTCCTTTTAGAAAAACAAGAATACAACCACTTTGTAACCCATGGCTAATTATGAGTTATGGTAAGCTTATTTAACAAGAGTGATCTAGGAACAAAGTCAACACTACACTAGAAATAATATTAGGAAAATATAACTTCGCTTACATTCACCACAATTCACAGTCTAGTGTAAATTATTCCTGAGTAGCTACACTTTGACACTTCATGATGATCAAATTGATCCAACAACCCATTAAGACCGATATCTTTAAATGACTTCCCCAACTTACATCAATTCCTTACACAGTAGCATGGTCGAGCATTGTTAACCACTTTTATCTCTCAAGTGATTGACAGAGTAGTACTGTCTACATCCAGACTGTTTACCTACACTTGGGCAGTTCAACCCAGTATTATACCAACGGGAAATTTTTAATATCAACAAGCAACAACTGATACCAGTTGTACAAGTGATATCTCTCTTATCTCAGTTGCTTAATGGATAACACTTTGTTGCTTCAAACGATAAGTACGCCCATCCTAGCTATCAATTAGGGTATTTCAAAGTCATTCATTATATAATATACATTGTATTGTTCAGTAATTCTCTTTGTCAAGTGACAAAATTCACTTTCAATTTTATGTACACTTATAGTTAACTTTAGCCTAGTTGGAGAGAATATGTTTAACAGTTCTTGTAATTATCTTGTAGTAACACTCATGTAGAAATATCCTACGGTAAGCTAAACTATCATTGGAAAAAAATGTAAAACTTGTAGAAATGGAAAACAAAACTATGAATATTATTTATTGAATCATATAACACTGGTTATATATAGTTGCATATTGTACGAAATGCTGAACTGAGAAATGTTCAATGTACAATAGTTATAAGTGTACAAAATATATTTGGTATTCATTCAAACACATATAGAATATCCTATCCCATAAATTGGACAATAGTGATCAATCGATAATTGATATTGAAAATTTTCTTATCCACTAGCAAACGCATATATTATTTGTCAAAATGTTTATAATTTTAGTAAAACTATATAACTAAACATTATCGCTACCTTCAGTTATTCAATGAATGCATTGATTAAAAGTCAAGTAATAGATGTTGATCATTTGTACTCATATATATTATGGACAAAATGAACGTAGACAAAGGTGTATATACGATGAGGAATTATTCGAAAATGAAGATTACTATAAATATTCAAGTTTTAGAAGACATCAATGAGTGAATATACATCTCCTGTACTAAGGTGATCAATTTTCAGCTATTTCACCAAGAGTCTTCAATCATTGATTCCTGTTGTCTTGGGGACTCCATCTTTACATGACTCAAAATAATAGTCAGAGAATTCATACACTGGTATCTAATTGCAATCGTTCCACCCTGAACCTACTTCTAGCTTAATCCGACTTCCCCAAAATATAGCACGTTGAGTCAGGCGGTGGGTAGGTAGACCTTCCACATTATTTTATAAATACACCTAGTTTAATGTCTCTTTCAATTTGAATTACTCGTCAAGAGTATTAATCAGAGAATACCTATGGTTACATAGGCATAAAGAACAAGATCTGAATTTCCAACAGTCAGTCAAGTCAGTGCTTCTATGTAATGGTTGAGAGACCTGCCGGGTTACCAAAAGCATTTCCAACAAACTTCACATATACATCACATAAACAGCTGCCACCTACGCTCACTCCATACTGACAGTGAAGATGGAGATCAGATGACCAGAATAATAAGGATAAGCAACAAGCAGCTCTGGCTGGCAACCAACTAACCAACCAACATTCCATCGCCCAACAAATATGCAGAAGAAAGTAGAGATGGATTGGAATGGACATACATTGAGAAGACCATTTGGGGACATCACCCACCAGACCAGGCACTCGAGTGGAACCCAAATGGGAAACGATGAGTTGTGCGTCCAAGCAAATGGTGACATGGAGGGGATTGTGTGAGGAAGAAATGGAAACATGTGGGCAGTCGTGGAGCCAGGTTGCCAAGACTGGAGAGAAGAGAGTGAAATGGTGACGGCGATGTGCTACTGAATTCCTATGTTCCACTAGGAACCCAGGGGAAAAATAATAAGAATATAATGAAGCTTGGAAAATAATTTATTATGCACGCATACTGACTTAATCCCCTACAAGTGTATAATAATCATGTTTTGATCGCCTAATCAAGTAATGGAATACCAGCCACAAGGGATGGCAAGCTGAAACTTTCCTGTTTCGACTTTTATGCCACGAATTGCACAGTTCCGCGAAGCCTTAGACAAAAAACATAGCTGACAATAAGTTACACATCATTGGATATACGTTTTGTGTAAGTGTGTTCATATTGGTTATATACAAATGAAACAATACAGACAACTGTCATAATCACCTACCTCAAGTCTTCGAACCACTCGCATACCACGACCACCTCCACCATATGCCGCCTTGAGTATAACAGGTAATCCGTATTGTTTACAAAATTCTACTGCTTCCTCAGGTGTAGTAATTGGTCCAGGACTACCAGGAACCACCTAGACATAATAAAACAAATATGGGACGAAGATAAAATGATAAACACAGACTTGTATACACAACACAGTATGATAACAAATTAGATGGCTGACCACGTTCATCTATTTCCCACTACCCTTCCCTAGTTTTTTAAAGAAAAATAAAAACTATATATGTAAACTAAAAAGAAAAGGTTATCAAATACTCAAAACACGAAAAACTATACAGAAAATGATGGTAACTGAATAGATTAAGTTGGACTGCAACAGAAGGTACGTAGATGAAAATAAGATGTAAGGAAGACAGCGACCGAAATTGGTAAAATGTTACGTAGAACAGTAACGCAACTCGGCATGATAAGTGAGATGAAAATCATGCGTGGATGTATATGGGCTAATGAGATCAATTTTCAGCCATTTTACTTATTGTCTTTAACCACCACAAAAACCTACTAAGGGGTCTACATTTTGTCAAATGGTTCAGACTAACGGACACTTCATAGACTGATGCTATTTTTTAACCCTGTACCACCTTAGACAGACAGACAGAATCGATGCAGAAACTCCTACACAAGTACATCAGTTCAAGTTATACTTCATAATAGTATTCAAAGAACAGGTGGATAGAAAAAGAATCACATAAAATTAGATGAAAGTTAGTGCAAATATTCAAGCTTTAGTAGACATCGAGGAGGGAATACATCTCGGCCACTGTGACCGACTTCCGGTTATATCACCAAAACTCCGCAACCACTGATGTCTTCCCCAACCAGGTAGTCCACATTTCTAAACACGATTCAGACTAACAGTAAGGGACTTCATTGATTGATGCCACATATTCATCTGGTCAATCTAAACCGTCTTTCAATTTAATCCAACTTTCCCCAGCATGAAACGACAAGATAGGCGGTGACTTGGCATGCACAAAACAAGTACAAGCCACCCCGCTGATGAAGTTTCACAACTTCACAATCACCTTGGCTTTCTTGCCTAGGACCTTTTGTGTAAGCTCAACATCGCTAACACAATGATTCCACTAGATGTCAGCAATGCCACAAAGACATTTGTGATCAAAACCCTGTCTTCTACTTTTATTGATCATATTTCACAGCCGTATAGCAGAAAAGAATGAACTACATTGGCGCAGTATACTCATTCTTTGATTGGTAATCAGATAAGCTGTTCTAGCTTAAACCAATGATGGATAATTATGTTCGACAGGGTAGAGAGTAACAGAGAACACCTAACACATTCCATGTAACAAAATATGCCGCTAAAGAATGTAAGTAATTGTGCACCAAGTTTGGTTTGAGTTGTATCGAGAAGTACAGGCTTCCTGGATGAAGTCATCGGCATGTTGAAAACCACTGGTCAAAGACTTTCACCAGTATGAAGTGAAACTTATCACAATGAGGTAAAATGTATTTACTACTTATCATGGAGATTCTTACAATTTTATCAATAATCATCTATGGGTTACCTATCTATTCGTTCATATGACTTTTTTTCGCCATCATTCTACACTCTTAGTATTCCCCATTCCATATTAGATTTGTTTATTTAGAAGTAGTATTCATCATGGACTGACATCAGTTGGGGAACCATTGAAAACCCGGGAGCACTGGACGGCCGTTTCGCCCTAGTATGGGACTCCTCAGCAGTACGCACCCACGATCCGGCTACGGATCGAACTCAGCACCTTCGGGTTTCATAGCGAACGCGTTAACCATTCAGCCACTGGGTCGGTTCCCAGTGGTTCACAATTTCCAACTTCTGCCAATTCACGACATAGTGCGACTATCACCCAAGGTCTTCAGTTAGCATCCACTTCACTTCCGACTGGTTGACCCCACCATGAAACCCGAAGGTTCTGAATTTGATCCCTAGCTGGGTCGTGGGTGCGTACTGCTGAGGAGTCCCATACTAGGATGAAACGGCTGTCCAGTGCTCCCGGGTTTTCAATGGTTCCCCAACTGATGTCAGTCCATGATGAATACTACTTCTTAATTAAAAAATCCCCATTCATCTCAAGGATACGGTATTATTTACTTGATGATGACGTTTGGAGCATAAATTATCATTGCTCAAAATCATATCAATGTAATCACACCACTTTCAGTAGTCGATTTTAATAGTCCAGTCACTTAATATTCTTTGATTTTATTCCTTATCTCTGGTATGGGTGTTGCGTCTTTCCTATTACACTACATTACATTGCACTAAAGAGAACACAATACAACCAAGACCATCCACCTAAGCTAGAAGTATTCTCCACTACCTCGCTCTATCACTCTCTCTCCAACTAATTATATTGTTGGACTTGAGTACAGTGGTTTTATCCCACCCAACCCATTATGTGGTTGTGTATTAATGCATTCCAGATTATTGTTCATATTTGAGTCTGTCATTCTATATTTAGGTAAATTTCTATGTTTCGCTATTCTAACTGACCCCGATCAGTCGGACTAGTTTGACCTATGAACTTGACCTTACAGTAACCCCATGAATTTAGTAGATTAGATTATTTTGCTGAATTGCTTATATCGGATGTTTAAGCCGACAAAGCTCATCTCTCTGTATGAGTTTGTAGGTTTACATGTCACCTTAATTCCAGCTTTGTTGAGAATCCTACGTGGAGTTTTGAACACATAAAAGAAGTATTCATAACTAATAATTATCCTCTACTCTTTATTGAGGAATAATAATAACAATAATACGAATATGAATTATAGCGACAACATGTGTAAAAATAAGTTCAAAGCGTCTATTGTGTTACCCTATAAGGAAGGAACATCAGAAACTTCATGTACGACCCTCAATAATGCTGGAATAAGGTTGGCACATAAACCTACAAACTCACTGAGAGATAAGTTTTGTTGGTTTAAAGATCCGATAGATGCAATTAAAGAAAATAATCTGATCTATCAAATTCCATGCAATGACTGTGAGGTCAAGTTCATAGATCAAACTAGTCGACCAAAGTCAGCTGAATGATTGTAGCATAAGAACTAAGCTAAATATAGAATGACAAACCTTAATAATAGGATCAAAATCGAGAAAGTAACTCGGCTGTTGCAATCCATGCATTATCACAAAACCATACAATAGGGTGGGATAAAACCACTGTACTCAAGTCCAATATAATTAGGTGGAGTGAGGGATATTGATTACTGAATCTATGTTCATCGAATCAACACGCAACACTCAGACTTTACTACCAATATAAACAAAGAATATGAAGTGACAGGACTATAAAAATCGATTGTTGGAAGTGGCGTGATTACACTGATATGATTATGATTAGAATTCGATCAATATACTACTGAGATAGCGACCAGACAGAGATATTCTGGTTAGGCCTTCAAAAATAAAAAAGCCAATGCAAACAGTAGAAATATGTGAATGATATGCATGCTGCTTAACCGATACAATGAAATCGGATTTGTTACCGGGTGATAATTGAAGGCGAAATGAATAGACGGGCTATGACAAGATTCCATAAGGTTTCTAGCCCAATATCAATACAAGTTTGTCAAACGGGATTTGTAGGACTCTAAATAGAAACAGGATTTTTGAAGAAATTGATCGATGACCAATTAGGAAAAAGACAATAGGTAGAAAACTGTGGAGCTCAATGCAATACATCAAGTCGTATTTCTACACTCTACTAAATAACGGAGAGTAAAGCGTCAACATAAATCATAATATGAGAAAATAGGCATAACCTAAAACCATTTTCGAGATAGAAATGATAAGAAGTGAATGAAGTTATTCGCAGAACAGGCCATGTCAGCCAGTATCTCCAATTCCTAAATTCCAACATTTCCCCGGCCATAGACAAAAGCCGACATTTTCAAGAGGTAATAATTCGATGTCCAAGACCTACTTCATTGTAAGCCTGCTGTAACGACATTCGTACGCCTGTAGGTTAGCACGTATGGAACATTAGGCAGCTGTTTTACTCCATTCAGGAGTAAACGTTATTCAAGGGATTTACTTATTACAATTAAATCAGGACACAGAATCTCAAAGAAGATCAGTTACTGGTTGTTCACAATAGTAAAAGAACATTATGTATTAATCTGTACATTTTTGAATTATAATTTTCGTACCCTTTTCAAGGGTTGCTTTTTAACGTCACACTAGCAACAGCTGAAATTACCAATTATCTTTTTTTAGTTCGACTGGAAAGGTAGTTTCTCATACAATACAAAACTCCAATTGGTGATTTCACTAGTTTTCAGGGTGACCTTTAATATCATTATTTCAATTTTATGATCAATAGTTCGTTTTTTCTCTTTTTCAAGGTAGTTTGCTGATTGGCTGACGCTTGCTTTTACTATATTAAAGTGGGGAATTCGTGACAAGGTCATAGATCATGCATATATACACATGTGATTTCGGTTATTTTCAATCATCTTGAAGGTAATCAACTCTCTTATTCAGAACAATCTCTCTATTTCCGCTTGGAGTTTAGAGACAGTGCTACTTAATGTATAAGTTAGCTGTTAGTTAAGCGGGTGTATCATATATACTCAGGAATGTAACAACTTATTATTACTATTATTATTATTTTTCCCTTGGGTTCCTAGTGGGACATAGGGCTTCTGTAACACGTCTCCATTGCAATCTCTTCTCTGCAATCTTTTCAACCTGGCTCCACGACAGCCCACAAGCTCTCATTTCTTCCTCACACCATCTCCTCCATGTCATCCTCGCCTCCCACGCCCAACTCATCGTTTCCCATGTGGGTTCCACTCGAGTGACTGGCCTGGCTCGTGATGTCCCCGAATAGTCTTCTCATTGCATGCCCAATCCATCTCCACTTCCTTCTGCATATTTGTTGAGTGATGGGTTCTTGGTTGGTTGGTTGGTTGCCAGTGAGAGTTCCTTGTTGCCTATTATTATTATTATTTTGGCCATCTAATCTTCAGTATGAAGTGAGCGTAGGCAGTTGTTGATGAGTGTCTGTAGTTTGTTGGAAATGGTTTTCGTGACGCGCCAAGTCTCCCAATCATCAC